TTCTGCTGGTGGACTACCTCCAACAGGGTTCAACCATCAATTCAAAAATATAACTGTGCTTAATTGATGAAGTTGAGGCAAAACATCAAGGAAAAACATTGAGGAAAACTCTCCAAAGGTGTCATCCGGTTGCATGACAACACCTTGTCACACACTGCAGGTGAAACAGTGGCAAAACTGACGTCCTTAGGCTTTCAAGTGATGCCCCATCCACCCTGTTCTCCCGACCTGGCTCCTTCTGGCTATTATCTGTTCCCCAAACTCAAAAAACACCAAAAGGGACAACGATTTGGGAGTGTTCTGGAGGCAACTAATGCTGCAAATGAGTGGTTACACCAGCAGTTGGAAGAATTTTATTTGCAAGGACTTAAGAAGCTGCAGGGCAGATGTCGCAAGTGCATTGACTTCCTGGGGGAATATGTAGAATAGTGTGGCAGTTACAGCTTCCTAGCTCAATTTTTTTCTGGGAAAGGCTCAATACTTATCAGCACCCCCTTGTGTGACAAAGTTATTCAGGGGAGTGAGTGCTTAAGCAGAATGGAAAGCTACAAATGCTTTTTCCCAAATCTGATGACTTTATAGCAGAGGGGCAGGTGCGATTCAATATCAAGGTCATAGCACTTGGCACCAGGGATATCATTCTCATCTTCCAGCACATGCTGATGGGGCTTGAATTTTCTGCAATTAGCCAAGAAAATTTTCTTGAACAAACTCGAGGTTAGATTTGGTCAAGGAAATGAGGCTGGCTTTTTGAATTATCCTGAATCAAACCTGTGAGAACCTGTGCTGTTTTGAAACAAATTATTTATTTCTTCTCCACTGTTCACATTTATCATTTATGTCAAATAAGCCATCTATGTAAAAGACATGTGTTTGTGTTTAGTCGTTTAGTCGTGTCCGACTCTTTGTGACCCCATGGACCAGAGCACGCCAGGCCCTCCTGTCTTCCACTGCCTCCCGGAGTTGTGTCAAATTCATGTTGGTTGGTTCGCAGACACTGTCCAGCCATCTCATCCTTGGTTGTCCCCTTCTCCTCTTGCCATCACACCTTCCTAACATCAAGGTTTTTTCCAATGACTCTTTTCTTCTCATGAGATGGCCAAAGTACTGGAGCCTCAGCTTCAGGATCTGTCCTTCCAGTGAGCACTCAGGGTTGATTTCCTTCAGAACTGATAGGTTTGTTCTCCTTGCAATCCAGGGGACTCTCAAGAGCTTCCTCCAGCACCACAGTTCAAAGGCATCAATTCTTTGGCGGTCTGCTTTCTTTATGGCCCAGCTCTCACTTCCATACATCACAACAGGAAAAAACCATAGCTTTGACTATTTGGACTTTTGTTGGCAATGTGATGTCTCTGCTTTTCAAGATGCTGTCAAGATTTGTCATCGCTTTCCTCCCAAGAAGCAGGCATCTTTTAATTTCGGGGCTGCTGTCTCCATCTGCAGTGATCATGGAGCCCAGGAAAATAAAATCTGTCACTGCCTCCATGTCTTCCCCTTCTATTTCCCAGGAGGTGATGGGACCAGTGGCCATAATCTTAGTTTTTTTGATGTTGAGTTTCAGACCATTTTTTGCACTCTCC